AAACGATTTATGATTATTGCTGAAAATTTTACACACTTCTTAGTTATACTAATCTTAAGATCTGTATACTTTTTGGTTTTGATTCAAAGTTTTATTTTAGAGATATTGATTTTTTTTAAATGGGGTGTTTTCACATGTCGCGCCGTATCTCAAAAACGATTTATGATTATTGCTGAAAATTTTACACACTTCTTAGTTATACTAATCTTAAGATCTGTATACTTTTTGGTTTTGATTCAAAGTTTTATTTTAGAGATATTGATTTTTTTTTAAATGGGGTGTTTTCACATGTCGCGCCGTATCTCAAAAACGATTTATGATTATTGCTTAAAATTTTACACACTTCTTAGTTATACTAATATTAAGATCTGTATACTTTTTGGTTTTGATTCAAAGTTTTATTTTAGAGATATTGATTTTTTTTTAAATGGGGTGTTTTCACATGGCGCGCCGTATCTCAAAAACGATTTTTGATTATTGCTTAAAATTTTACACACTTCTTAGTTATATTAAACTAAAGATCTGTATACTTTTTGGTTTTGATTCAAAGTTTTATTTTAGAGATATTGAGGTTTTTGTAAAAAAAGCAAGGGGGGTTTTCGCATGTCGCGCAGTATGTCAGAAACTATTTATGATTATTGCATAAAAATTCACACACAAGACGACGGGCGTATCATGCGCTCATGCCGCAGCTGTTTTATTTTAACTCTAACAATACACGATTAAGATTTATTTAAATCTATTTCGATTTAAAATAAACTACTTTATCACTTCCTTTTTACAACAATAAAAAAGGGGGTAGGATTAAATTTCCACGAATTCATAGTAAAAAAAGGGGCATTTTTCTAAAGCCCTTCGATCAATAATTTAGCAATAAACAAACGAAATATTACTGATACTATTATTAATCAATACATGGTAGCTAATCTATCCATGTTCTGCAAAAACGCATACTTTCGACTGATTTTACATGTTTTTAGAAAATTTAAGGTAGCTCTAAAGGCACCTTATACTTATGTATAATCTTAGGCGTTTTCTTAGTATAAGGGGGTTTATGCATACCACTTAAGTTTTGTGGGCGTGACTTAAACCAACTAAGATTTTACTAAGGAAATACTTAGTTTAAGATTTTTTATGCATACCACTTAGGTAAAAAGGGCGGAGTTTCCTTAACTTAAGTGTTTACTAAGGAAAATCTTAATTTAAGTAGCTTTATGCATACGGTCCCTGGACTTTATATTTACAGCGCTGGACTTTAAATTTCCAGCGCTGGACTTTATATCTATAGCCGCTTCACTTTTTATCTACCGCATTCAACTTTTAAAAATCTCCAGCGGTATAGAAAATTCATCTCAAGCACTATGTTTTTAATGTATCTACTGTTCTAAACATTACATCACTGGCTGGCTTTCAAATTTTCTATTGAGCGTTCCTGATGAAGGTAAATCCAGAAAAGCGCTTCGGACGCATGATTTATTAAGTTGTGTACTCTTTTTTTGGAAACACGATTTTACCTATAAATAAAGAGATAACTTTGAAATACAAGTCTATATTGTCTGCTCTTGCATGAGAAGCACGTTATTGACGACACTATTGACATTCAGTCGATTCATTAGAAAAACAAAAACTCAAATGTTTACCAGGAAACAACGGTATAAATCCAGACCAGTTTTGCTAAGCCGTAATAGATTTACCAAAATCATAATTTTACAAACAACATGATAACAGTTAAAATATTTCTTTTTTCTTTTTTTAAGAGTAACAACATAGCAACATCACCTACAATTTTGTGTCCATGATATCATGTTTAGTTCGCGTTTATGAATTTTTGTCACACTATAGTGATCCATAGTGTCTTCATTGAGAGTGTTCAATCGCTGTCGTATAAACTATGCAGTCATCGGCTAAACTTCATGTTCAACGAACTTATAAACTGTTGTCAGATGAGTTTTTCACAATTGATTGAAGACATGTGTCCTTACGAACTTGTATTTTTTTGTAAAATGTTTTTACATTAGCCAAATTAAGCACATTTTCCGATATAGGATATAGACTCACATTTTTACAAAATCCCACATTTTGCCCTCTTCACATGCACGGATTTTTCTTACGAGTCTTTACGGATTGCCAACTCGTAATCAATCGCCAGGATCCGTAAATAAATCGCTGGTATTTGTAAATACATGTAACTCGTCACAACTTAAAAAACTTTTAAGGATCCGTGAAATGAGGTCAAAAGTCTTCTTACGATTGTTCACGGATTGATTTTTCCGTAAATAACTTTTACCAATATGTACATGTAAGTAACGTAAACCGCTCGCACCAACACGTAACCATCCGTAAACTGCTCGCATGAATCCGTTAATGACTCGTAACAATTTTTATTTACGATTTGTTACGGTTAATTTTTTCCTTTTGTTTACGGAATTTTTTCGAATTATTCCGAGTGTTTACGTGTTGCTTACAATTTCATTCGTCGTGTAACGAAGGCTTAACAGATTGTTCCGAATTGTTACGAGCACTTTACGTGCAGTTACGGGTACTTTACGAATAGATACGTATACTTTACGTATTCTTACGTATTGTTTACGATTTTGAAAAAGGTATTTAAAATGCAAAATCGTAAGGACACGTAAATACTCGTAACTAACTGATAACTATTCGTAACAACATATAAACAGATTGTCACAAACACGTAAAAGCTTCGATAAATAGTAACATTCTGCAATATACTCGTAACACTGTAAAAAACTCGTAAAATGCTCGTTATAGTTGCTCGTAGTTATCCGTGACAAATCGTGGGATTGTGCCGTAGATACATTTAAATAACTCGAAATAATCTGTGATAAACAGTAAATAGCTCGTAATAACTCAAGAAAAGTCTGTGTATGTAAAGGGGGCATTAATAGGAACTCAGAAGATAGTAGTTTAAAAAAGTAGAGAACATACCAATATGATAGTCATGCAAAGCCAAGCCTTTACCACCAAAAAAATGTACAAGACTTTTCCTGCACTACCAACTTCAGCATCAGAAATTGCAATGTAAGGTGAATGGACTACTATCACTATCGCTTAACCATTTTACTCGAATATGACAACGCTCATTGACGTATTAAAATATTCAGTACCAGAAATATTTTTACTCATTTAGCAAATCATCTGGAGGGCTGACACAACAAAATAAAGAATTCAAAGTAGTCAAGGCACACACATAAATATCTTCAGTCTTGTCAAACTGTTGACGCATGTATAGGCAATTCATGCATGCACATTTCTCCAATATGCAGCAGGAGGGAAAATAGACTACAGAATGAGGAAATATGTATTGTACAGTACGCAAATTCTACATCGTACTTACTTTAGAAGACAGATTTTGTGATAAACTTTGACATTTCATACTATATTCAAATTTTTCGTGATGACAAACTATTTTCACATGAAATAATGAGGAGACCAGAACACATATTTGTTTTAATGATTTTTATTATACTTCACGTTAAAATGCCATATTTTGATTGGCTAATACGAGGGTGTTAATTTACTCTATTACCCTTCATGGAGACGCTTGATCAAGTGTGCGCTTTATTAAATACGGATGGTTGTTATCTACAAGACATCATAGTTTATTACTTTGAATTTGAAATCGACAGTAATGACATTCAGTATAATAAATTAAATAATACATATCTGAGAGGGTGATAGAGCAGATTGTTACCCCTCGAAAAAACATTGTCAACCTTGGCTTCGCCTCAGTTTACAATGTTTTATCGGGGTAACAATCTGCTCTATCACCCTCTCAGCTATGTGTTCTTTATATAGTGTCATATTGCAGATGCAGTAAAAACCTGAAAGGATTTCATGGATACATTGTATTTACCTGAAGTTAATAGAATTTATGTTTTTACAACCCTATCTGATTTATTATCATTTTTAATGTAAACTCTTAGTCATTCATATTACATCATGGCGCGATTATACAACAAAAAATAAAACAAAGTAATAGGAGCAGTCGTGAATATGGGTGAACGGACACGGGGCGAAAAACTAAATGAGCGAACGTGATTGGTGAGCGAATGGACTCGTATTCGTTTTACACAGAGTCGCTGTTTTCTCGATGTTTACAAGAACTAGTAATTCATAAATTTGCTTCAAAAATTTGCTTCAAAAATATAATTACTGAGATCACCCCCAGTTTTGGTGGGGTTCGTGTTGCTCAGTCTTTAGTTTTCTATGTTGTGTTTTGTGTACTATTGTTTGTCTGTTGGTCTTTTTCTTTTTTAGCCATGATGTTGTCAGTTTATTTTCGACTTATGAGTTTGAATGTCCCTTTGGTATCTTTCGCCTCTCTTTTACAACAAATGCCAAAATCATCGTTGTGTTCGTTCATTTATGTCTATATACTGAATTTTATAAAGATTCTTTTACGGCCCTACTTTTTTTAAATCATGCTCTCAATTTCTAAAAAAAAGTTAAACGTTTGCTCCTTCTGGTTTTTGTACTGTTCAATATTTTGAGTAAATTAGATAGTTTCTACACTTGCAGGAGTTGCAAGAACCATGGAGCTGTGCTTTATATTCACAGGTTTTTTTTTTATAACAAAATCACATTTTTGTAATTGATGTTCCCAACAATCAAGACAAAGGTAGACAAAGTCTTATAACACCAGAACTCAAGTTCTTCTATATGGCCATGGGCGCAAAAATAAAAGGCATTAAAATTCATAAATTGATGTAGAGAGATATGGTTGGTACATTAATATGATAAGATAATTATGCCTCAAATAAATGACAACATGTTAATCTCTCATTGATAACAGATATTAAAGTAGAAATTGATAATGCCAAGCGTACATTACCTAAAAAACAGTATTATAGCAAAATGAAAATAAAGAATAACGGCATTAACAACATTAGGTTAAAATGAAATGTTATTTTTTTTCTTTCAAATGCATTTCATTTATTTACTTTTCATACAGATATTGTTTACTTTTCTTTAGATTCGTTCTGATATAAGGAATCCCTGGGCCCATTGTGACTTTTCTGAGTGGGATGCAAACAAATATCTTTCGTCATTTCAACTTATGAACCAGCTCATAAGGAATTTGGGATTTACAACAACAGATGAAAATAGGATATTGGGAGACTTAACTATCTGGGAAAGCAATGGTAAGTGTTTTATTGTGCGTGATTATTAAAAGAACGAAAATGTCTTTACCGGTTTATTCCAATAGTCCGAAACTCTATACAGTATACGAGGATCTAGAAGAGGGGGGATGGTGGATGGGGGGGGGGGGGGGGGTGGGTGGGGGGGGGGGGGGCTTTATTTCTGTTTTCTTTGTTTTTTAGGATATTTTTCTTAATCTTTTAAAATAAGGCTTATTCTGTAAAATTCTTATGAAAATGATTTTCTTACTATTTTTGTAAGTATATGATTTCTTTATTCTGTACATCATTTTTTCTTTAATCAGTATTGAATTATCTAATTCTTTTATTTTTTCCCAGTTATTCTCTATACTTTTGCATATCATATCTATTTTTTATTTCGTTTGCTCATTTTTTCTCTATGCTTTGTTTCTTTTGTCATTATTCTCTATTCTGTAAACCCCATACCCTCATATAAGGGAAGATTCAAGTTAAACATATTCGCCTCTCCTTTTTTTTTTAGCGAAAGTTGCAAAAATAAATCACTCTAAAAAAAAAACTAGTTGGTTACAGTAGTTATGACAAGAGATAACTTCAATTTTTCTATCGTGAAATTTAATTTAAAAAGTATCATAGAATATGTATTAAGTTGAAATACAAGGTCTTTTGTTTCCTATAAGGATTTTCTCGGTATTGAAACCAATGAATGCAATGGTTTTTAATGATTAAGTTAAATCAGTCTTTAGAAAAATTCTTAACTTGGTTGACCAGCCATGATATGTTCATTTTATCGTTGAAACAATCCTATTCCTGTTTTCTCGTTCAAAACTTTGGGTCTTGTGCCGCTACAGTCACTTACCCTACCGAAACACATTAATTAGGATTTCCGTTTTCGGTGTTTTAATGTTCACTAGCTTTCTTTGAAATATTTTTTTAATGATGTTTATTTCTTTTTTTCTGCTATGGTGTTGTCTTAATTTCTTTGACATGTATATTTTATTGCTTTCTTTGTATGATTTTAATTTGTTTACATTCAACATTTGTTATTTTTATGAATTTCTAAAACTTAAGAATATAGTTAAAAATTCAAGTTCGTAAAATATATGGATGGCAATATTATTGCCTGTCCTTAAATATGATTTTTTTTGTCATGTTTCTAGATGGCTGCCTCCGCCTAACAGAACTGTAAATACTTTTATGTACACATAGACATTTAAATGGTATCATCTGCATACATACCACGCAAGCGCTACATACTACTCGTATGACATTTGGTATTTTTTTTACGGCTTATATAACTTACCACACATCCCTTTTTATATCAACAGGCTTCAATAAACTTGAGTTAGAGATTGTAAGGAGGTCGATTTTGGTGCAAGATTTTGTAGCCAGTAAAAATAGGAACGGTTATATATATAATCAAAACTCCTTCTGTTTTTCCACAGGTATTCAGTTTCTACAAGGGAAAACCATAGGTCTGGATTTGCTTGAAGAGGTAACAAATCAGACCACCGCTCTTGCCAAGTATGCCCTAAAAGTTACCGATGAAACAGAGGAAAGCTTTATAAAAGTTGAAAATGAATTGTTGAGCATTCAAAATGGGTTAAGATCTTTCACTCAGCAAATTCTGCAAATTGAAAGTAGTCATGAGGCATTTCACAATGCTATTGAGGAAGCTGGTAATAATATTGCAGCTCTCAGAGACAAACACACAAGTTTTGAAAACAGGCAGAAAAATACTGAAGAAAAGATTGAGAATACGAAACAAGTTTTGGAAAATACTATAGAACAAATTGAAGAGTTGAATACTTCTACTAGAGAAATAGTTTCAAACGTTGGTTATTTATCCGAAAAGCAAAAAAGTACTAAGAAAGGTCTAACTGAAATTGAAGAAAGTATTGGTGGAATCAAGGAAGATGTCGAGAAGCTGAAATATAATTCTCACGTAAGACAAGAAGGAAAAGTTTATTTTTATCCGCCAGACCGCATAAAATGCTTTGTAGGTAGAAACATAGAGTTGAATGTCTTACAAGCAAATTTTATAAGAAACAAAAATTCTCAATATGCTCAAGTGGTTTGTGGACTAGGAGGATGTGGCAAAACTACCGTTGCTATAGAGTATACCTGGCAATTTCAGAACTTTTATCCAGGTGGTATATTTTGGATGTCTGCAGAGTCTAACGAAACATTAGAAACATCAGTCTCAAATCTGGCAATAGATGTAAACACAACCGGAAACACCGCAAGAGAAACACTTTTGCGAACCCTTAAATGGCTAGCCACATTACAAACGCAATGGCTCCTTATCATAGACAACGCTGATGTTGATGAACTCTCTTTTAACATGAAAGAATTGTTTAATGGTACATGGAAACGAAACACGTGTGGACATATACTTATAACTTCCAGAAGGGAACCCAAGGAAGCAGAAGAATCTTTCCAAATTGACCAAGACGATTGTCTTTATTTAGATGTTTTATCTCCAGAACAAGGTTTGGAGTTTCTAAAAACAAGAACAGGGAGACACAGTGATCATGAAAATGAAATTATTCTGGAACTTAGTACAGAACTTGATGGGCTTCCTCTAGCACTTGAACAAGCTGGTGCATATATTAAGGCAAAAATGTGTTCATTTGGCCAATATATGGGAAAGTTTACGAAGCAACGACAAAAACTTTTGAATGCTATGCGCATCAAAACGTCACAAAGCACTCAGAAAGAAAGACTAGCAGTGAAAACTACATGGCAGTTGAATATTGATTATATACAGAAAGCATCTGAGGAGGAAGGAATAGGTACATCTGCTGTGAAAGTCATGAAAATCGCCTCATTTCTGTCGCCTGATGATATACCAATTGAAATTATTAATGATGGTTCACCTCCAATTGAAGATGACGAAATGAATGAGTCACTACAGGATTCATTTGGAGGAAAGCAGATAATTGAGATATTAACAAGGTTTTCCCTTTTCCAGCAATATCGTGAAGATACTCTATCAGTACACAGATTAGTACAAGAAGTAATAAGAGACAGCTTGCGAGATTTGAGCGATGTAAAAATAATTTTACAGCATGCAACAAGAATGGTCAACAAAGCTCTTAATTCAACATTATCTCCTTACAAGGCTCTTTGTGTTGAAAAGGGGGAAGCTCCTGGAAGAGGATCACTTTATTTATGGAGTAAATTGGCTACAAATGCAAACATATTGAAGAGTCACATAGTTCGTTTTCTAAAGAACAAAGAAAACGACGGCTCATTGCATTTAAACTTGGAAATGGCAAATCTTTTGCACACATCAGCAGTATTTCATAGTGTACATCAACGACAAGATGAAGCACTTGCAGATCAAGAGCAGTTGCTTCATATCATGACAGTTATAGACATTCCGAAAGAAAAATGTTTGGAATTTACATCGGTCAAAATACCATTATTAGAACGAGACAGAAATATGATTCAGGATTGTTTGTCCGCAGTTTTGATAAACTTCAGAGATGATGCAGAGTTTATGTTGCCAGATGAAATAGATAGGTTAAGGATAAAAGGCAACGATGCGTTTAAGGAGAATAGATACCGTGATGCGATTCAGTATTACACTGAAGGTATAAAATCGTCTCCTGAAGAAACTATGGACTTTAAGTTGTTTTCCAACCGAAGTTTACTTTATCTTAAAGTAAACGATTACGACAATGCTTTAAAAGATGCAGAAAAATGCATTGTGTTAGCTCCTAACAATTGGAAAGGGTACTGCTGGAAAGCTTACGCTTTAGCGAACTTAGTGAGAAATGGTGAACGATCTTTTGAATTTGAAAAAGTAGGTCTGGCATCAGCTTGTATTGCGGCAAATCTTAATCAGAAAGTTTTGGTAGAATATAATATGAAAATGAATTACCCACTTGTTGTCTACAAGGTTATCGAAAGCTCAAATGATCTCTGTTCAGAAATATCATCAATACAGGGGCGCCCGTATACAACAATTTTGTTAAAAAGTGGATACTATAGGCTTACGGATCCTGTTATCATAACCAAAAGTGTTCAAATTATTGGCATAGATGATGATGTCGAAATTGACTTAAAACATTATCTTAAGATATTTAACATATCTGGTTCTGTATTTAGCACCCATTGCAAAAGTGAATGGCAAATACATATGCATTTCGAAAACCTGTCATTTGTACCAAATAGCGCACAAATTGGCATTCTTGCAAACGCAACAGCTACTTTTTACAAATGTAAACTATCAAATGGGGCTAAAGGATGTGACGATTTCCCTCGATGTAAGGGTGGATCTGGTTGCATAAAGCATCCTGTGAAATGTTTAAGGCCATTAGAGTTACCTGGGTTGGCAAATTTTGCTACAGGTGAGCAAGGTTACCCTGGACTTTGGGTAGGTTCTGGAGGCAAACTGATAGTACAAAACTGTGTACTGGACAAATGCGGCGGAGGAGGCGTCCTCTCTGATGGGGATGGTGCCCATCTTGAAATTCGGTATTGTACAATAAGAAATATGAGAAGCACTGGAGTAGAAGCTAGAAATGGTGGAGTGGTAAAAGTTGAAGACAATGTAATTATTGATAACCAGTTTCATGGAATCATGATAGCTCCCAGAGGTAATGGGATAATGCACAGAAATCATATCCAAGGGAACGGTCAAGAAGGTATATTCTGTGGTGGGATACTTAATCCAAATAATTTTGGCCAAATCATTGCAGACATGAGGTCAAATGAAGCCTCACAAGCTGTTATTGCTGATAACATAATACTCCAAAATGGATTATCTGGTATATCATTAGATGGGGGAACATATGAGGTCTCAGGAAATAGAATTGTAGAAAACTGGCTTTGGGGAATGATGATTAAATCAAGATCGTCTGTATATGTTGTAGGCAATGATATCTTTGAAAACAAATGTGGTGGTATACGCATTGGGTCAAACTACTCAGCCTCCGTAATTATTGATGGTAATACGATAAGAGACCACACAGGGCCAGATATTTATGTAACGAATTCCCCTGAAAAAATGTTCGGTCAGAAATTACAAACGATATTTAATGCAATAAGTAAAGACATCGAAATGGCAGAAGAAAGATCTATATACACCAGGCCTCCAATTATCACCAACAGGAATATTAGAAGAAATAATAATAAAGGCGTCCAGCACCCAAAGGAAGCAGTTCAAATAATCCAAACCTGCTGTTTCTGTTACCGTTCCTCACTTCGACTTAAACGGTGTAGTAAATGTGGGGCAGCCACTTATTGTTCCAAAGAATGTCAGGTAAATCACTGGAAAAAACACAGACACATGTGTAAACTTCTTCATAAAGAATATACTATACAGATCAAAATGAAAAACACAGAACCTTTTATGAAACCAGGTACGATGAGAACCTTCAATTCTTCCTTAAAAGGAATAAAAGAGGGTCCAAAACCAGACCCAAAAAGCATCAAAAAATTTATAGTAAAAGTTCAGTCTGGTCAGGAATATGGACAATTTGATCCAATGAAAATTCTTTTGCTGTATGATAGAAGTGTGACGTTAGACATTAAGTTATCAAACCCTGAACTGTATTGTCTTGTCAATGAATGCGGCATTCTTGCGGGTGAATCACTCTCAACAAAGAAAATATTTTGTTGGGCTTCTTTCAAAGACAACGGTTCAATCCTATGTATTCATACAGACAATTTGCCTCCATTTCAAACATGGTAAATAATGTAAATTATTATACATATTCAAATATTGGTACGAGTATTATTTATTCAGTAGAAAGGATGCACAACAAAATCAAACAAGGTGTAAAATATCGTGTTGCTATTTTTCGTTTTATTTGTTATTTCTTTTATATCCTGGCAAACATATTGGTTAAAGAAAGCAGTCACAAGATAACAAGTAAATACCTTTGTGAGCAACTGTCAAATATAGTCGCTATTGTGCAGTAAGAAGGTTGAAAATATTCGGAAACTACTTGTAGTATTAAGAAAACTTAATCCGGTGTACCTTACATAACTTCGTATTTAAAGAATATTCCTTATAGTTACATTTATACATGATAGAATTTTGAAATTCCGAGTTATTTCTAGATTTTCGTTCTTTTCCCATGCAATGTAGTGAGGTTGTCACGGGAAGCACGTGCATTCATGAATATTGAATCTTATTGAGAAATACAATTTGATTTAGAAATGCCTGGCGATTGCTTTCAGCCAACCAAAGGTATGAATTCTTATGAAACATACATATAATGTAATTGTTGTAGATTATTACTTGGGTTTATTAATATTTTCTTAAGTGATTAAAAGTGAGTAGTCAATCTTTGTTTATCTAACGTATACGTCTTTTTCTTTTTATCAATCTTCATTTTATTGCTATTCATGCTCATTATACCCGACTTACCTGTGATAATTGGACATACCGGATTATTGACGTCGCATGAATTTCTTTACGCGAGATTTGAATCCCATGCGTGACTCGTGCAAGCTATTTTTTTTACATTTGTTTCTTAATAAAACAAATATTTGAATCAAAACCCACACTTTAATCAGTAAAAAAAAATGCGTTTCCATATTGCCGGGACTGAGAAATAAAAATTTGAATCAGGCCATAAGAAGGTTGCAGGCTGGAATAAGTCTACGCGCTGTTGCTTGACATTTGCACGCCAGAAATTCCCCTTTCAGTCTTTGCATCAACGGTACAGACAGACGGATTTGTAAATGACTACCTATGACCAGGTCAACCTGTAGTAGCATTGCGACGTCATTAAAACTTCATTAGGCAACGCAATTTCCGAGACAAATATACGACTGCAACGTCAACTGCTAACCAAGTCGTCGGTTGAAATTGCGGACCTCCCTTCCTTGACATCAAAAACTCGAATTTTGTTTAATGTTTCCAATTTTGCCTTTGCTGTACATTAGATAAAAGAACAGAGTTCCAATGTCCCCCGCGTTGGGCAATAACTGAAAAAGCACCTTTTTTGTTCTTTTAAACTATTTATTGATATCTTAGAGAAACGAAGGCTTCAGAGCAATTGCAATGTGTTTTCTAAGGGGCATAACATGTTCAAAATATTTGATCAGCTCTTATTCCAAAAAGTGTCAAAGATATTAGTGATATAAACCTATGATATCAGTTTCATAAAATTCTGGCAATAATTGTACACATGAAAGTGCTGACAATGCAATTTTTCATATAATCAATATTTCCAAAGGCATTACTCTTTTACAAATAATTGATCGGCACTGATTTTCGAACTCGTCTAAGACATTGCTTATATTAACCTATGATATAAGTTTCATAAAATTCTGGCAAGAATTGTACAAAGGAGAGCGCTAACAATGCAATTTTCCATATAGTGAATGTTTCCAAGGGGCATAACTCTTTTAAAAATAATTGATCGGCACTGATTTTCGAACTCGTCCAAGACATTGCTAATATAATCCTATGATATAAGTTTCATAAAAGTCTGGAAAGAATTGTACATGTGAGAGCTCTTAAAAGACCGGATGACGGACGCACAGACAGACGGACGGACGGACGCCCTGTATTTATATGTCCCCCGCAACGCGTTGGGCGGTGGACGAAAAACTACAACGACGCTTTGATGTGTGCGTAGTTGACATGTGGGAAGAAAACATTTCTGCCCCTATCCAATATGTATGAATAAAGGAGATATGGGTACCAATGAGACAGTAACTCAACGACCTAAATAATCAAACGATTATGCCCTTTATCAGTAACTACAAATTACACGGATATCTCAGACGATCTACTTTGCAGAGCGCAACTTTTTAGATTTATTTTTCAATATAATTGAAAAGTTAAATGTCTTTAACTTGCAGAGAGCGTGGCACTAATCATAAACGAGGCATCGTCCTCATTCCAACCGGGCATTGCTGCGTATTTGTACATGCCGTACAGCCAAACGGATGTCCCTCTTTATTATGTGTGTTACTACCGGAAGGAAGAAGTCCAAGGATGACAATAATGCTATACACTTGTGATTCTAGATTCTTTTGCCCGTTTCTAAATCTCCATGGGAAGTATTCCAAATAAGGCAATTTAGGCAGTTCGGATGTCAAAACAGAAAACGTAAAACAAAATTTGAATTTAATTTGTTTCCGAGAGACTGATGGTTTGTGGTCATCCTAAAAATGTTATTTGATTTTATAGCTTAATTGAACAGATGCAACTAAATTCTAGAAAGAAACAACTGGCATATGAATTTTACACATAATTATTGCACACACAACATTCATGTCACATTTCTAATTAAAATATTAATACAAAGCATAACAATATTGGTTGCATCAAAGCTGTCATTTCATTCGTGACCTTTTGAAAATCAAAGCCTTACAGGGTGCTAAAGCAATTGCTGCCTAGTTAATGTTTTTTCGAGACTTTTATTTTTCATCAACACGTTAAAGAAATAAACCTGACAGGAGTCTTGTCTGGTGAGAAGTAAGGATGTTTCAACTTTATATCAATAAAAGTCATTTTTACAATGTCTTACATTTTCCAGGGGAACGACAAGTTTACCCAGCTTACGGTGGAGGCAAATATATGTGCGGAAATGTATAACTCCCTAAGACATCATAATAGATTATCCCCTTCTATAGTGTTTATTACTGGGCAATAATTTACATGACAATCCATGCACCTGGCTTCATTATCTTCATTGCTTTCGTTCTAATTATATCATAATTGGTTTAAATTTTACCATTCAGTTGATGATTTCAACTTTTGTAACGCGAATATACTACCGAACTATAGTTTTGGTTTATCATAAGAATCATTCATTCATACATACCGATTAAAGATTTAGAAGATGGGACCATGTGACCGGCTTCTGAAATTTTCATGAAATGCACGTTAACTGTCGATTAACCTGGGAACTGGCTTGCCCTTTACCCCTTTCATCACTAAGGCCAGGTTTTTTTTTTAATTTGTTGGTTTACGGATTTTTCTCATGAAAAAGTCCGGTCGGTCGGGAAAAAAAAAAAGAAAAAAAAATTTTTACAAGACATATATATGTAAAAAATAAATATATATTACAGCTTACTAACAATATTTTTGGTATGCTACTTTGTCAACATTTCTTAAATCTTAGTCCCAAACATCATTGCTCAGATGTTTTAAACATACAATATTTGCTATCGTCATATAATTTCGAAAAAGGGGGTGGGGTATCACGTACAAACATGAACTTAAATCGTCATCTCACGAACAAGAAAAAACAGCTCCACGTTGCTTTTAATCAACTTTCAGGAAACATTGTGAATAATGATCTTCAAGCACTAAAACAAGTGAAATAAAATTGCAAACACGTCGTACGAAAATAAGATTTTACCGTATTTAAAACGAAGTTGACTCGTCCACTGGAAAGACGAGGATATCGGTTTCATCATTTTTCATGCATTCCAGTTTTTTATATCCAAATGGACGATTTCTATGAAAAAGAAAATTCCAAATTAGTTTCTTAACTTGGCATCTTTCACGTTTGGACGGGTTCATATCATCTATAAGATGATAAATCTTACGGAATTATGACAAAAAAAGAAAACGAACTTTTTGTAATGTGTTTTTAACACAGGTTTCGTTCCGCAAAATTATTTGCGCAAACAACATTTCAAGGTCAGTTATGATTATCTATTTTCAGATTCGTAAACATAGAGAATTACAGGTAATCATTTTTAATGAGGGGGGGGGGGGGGGGGGGGGGTAGGAGGGGTCCTGATCCCGAAATCCCGGGCTTAAAAACATGGAATCCCGAGGTCCCGAATTTAAAGAAATTAAAATCCCGACATCCCGAAATTCGAAAAAAGAATTCCCAGATTCCGAAAGGATCAATCCCGAAATCCCGAGCTTGAAAACACCCGATCCCGGAGTCCCGATAAAGGTCCCCCCCTCTTTAATTGACTAGAAGGCCATTATGACATTTGACACTGTCGTTATATCATTTGTTTACAGAGTTGAGTCTATCAGTATCATTAGCAATTAAGGAAACCCTTAATAAATAACAGGACCCGTTATATCAAGGAAGTATTAAAAACATGGAAAGAGTAATCAGAACGCGTAAACTGTGTTACTTTTAATTTAAAACAAATAATGCGAGATAAGATTATAACGTGCGTTGTGATTTCACGAAAATTTTATGAATGAACGATAATTTTATGAATGAACAAGAGCAACTTGACCTCTTTCAAAAAGGAACACGAATTAAACAACATAAAACCATATAAGAGATAATTCAGTCAAATTTTCAATATCAAATCAACAACTGATATGATTGGATATTTTGTTGAATCATCTCAAGAACGAAATCGCAGGTATAAAAATGCACCTTTTCACTCGGACTTCTATGTTTTTGATAGTCAAACGGTTGTCCCCTTAAATACAAAAACGAATACATCTACAATTAAGAACATAGGTTGAAACTTCTAAAATGTTTTTCAACTGTTTCAATTAATGTATTTCATTAGAAAACATACATAGGAGTTTTAGAATGACAGACCAAAAACTTTGGTTGATCTGTGTCACAATGATGGCTATACGCCATAACATGAAAGCAATTGCTTTAAAAACGACATTGGTTTAAATTTCTGTTCCACTGACTTCTGTTTGGTTAAGTTAATAAACTAAAGCGATAGCCATGATCCAAAATGTACAAGAGGGTATATTATTGTGTTTCTAGAATTGTCGTTCTATCGATAATATCGATTCGTGATTCATGAATTATCTTTCTTCCGATACTATCGTGTTCATGGAATTGTGCTATGTTCTCCTCTGAAAATCTAATTACAATCCAGACTAATAAAGGAGCATGCATACAGCCGATAGATGAACAATCAGACAAACAAACTGGCGACTCCAATCTTTAAAGACAAGGATTTCTAATTTTTCTGTCAAAGGTCGATGGTTCCATCCTGATATTCCGGCTTCCCCTACGAATTAAAACTAGTCGCCAAGGTAAAGCTCAGGACGCAATGTTCATTGAAATTGACATTCGATGAATACAATAGGACCAGATACATTTCTCGAAGCTTCAAGTTTCTCGAATAAACAACACAGTTATCTCTGATTTCGCCGACTTATTCAAATATTAATCTGATATAACCCTGAAAAAAATGTCTCTCTAAATTTGGACAGGAATATGTATAGAGAGGTGATCATAAAGCGGTCTGTTGAACTACTTCAGTTATGTTCACTTTCTAATATTTATTTCCTGAAGCATTTCTCAAAATTTGTTGTAAAACATTTCGTAAAAGGCAGTTTGTTTTGAAACCTAAGGGCTGTTCCAT